GTGTGTTTTGTACTACGATATCTATTAAGTGATTTTGTTGATTTTATCAATTAGCGTAATGTCTAGCCTGTTGTGTGCCATCGTCTCGTCTGTAATTATGGTTCTGTCCCAATACAGCTTGCAAACTGGATATTCCATCATAGTTGTTGAGGTGTACTTGTAATATGGCTGCTTGTTTTTCATAAGGTTACTGTTTATTGCAATCCTTTGGTGAATTATTTTAGCCACCTGGTCTTGTCTGAGTTTGTACTTTGTCTGTTTGACTGAGTTTGTCTTAGTTTGGGCTTTGGTTTTGCAGCCAGATGTGATATGCTGAATTGTCTCGCTGGACAGATGACACCTTCTACATAAATAATTTTCTAGAATTGAATCTTTAAGGATTATTTATTATTATTATTATTATTATTATTATTATTATTATTATTATTATTATTCACAGTATCTACTGGTCAGTATGTCAACCACATAGGAATGATGACTAGGTGCGTGGTTGCTTCACTGAAGATTTATATGGCTTCTGACAATACGGCATGTATTCAAGAATACTAACTTTTGCATACATTCCTGGCATCCAAGTGAAGACACACCAGTGCCCGAAGTGTCATTTTCGGGATCACTCCTGTAGTTGATATTATTATAGGCACAGTTGCCACTTTACTGAAGTTAAACTGAGTTGCAACTTCATGGGCGAGATCGGTATACTTCTGGATCTTCTCTTGTTATTTTCCCGATATGTTATGGGTATTGGGTATTGAAATATCGATAAAGAAAACCTGCTGATGGTTTCTATGGAACGTTATATCGGGTCCATTGCCGCCGACGTGTTTGTCAGTGATAATGGAGCGATCCCAGTAGAGTGTGTGCTCACTACTTTCAAGCACGTACTGAGTCACATATTTATAATACGGCACGGAAGTGGCGAGTAAGCCCGTTTTCAATGCCAATAATTGGTGGACCTGCTTCGCCACTTCATCATGCCTCTTTTTGTATTCCAACTGTGCGTGGCTGCTACATCCACTTGTCACGTGTTGGATAGTTCGCTTGCAGCCTCACATCTTCTACACGAGTCGGAATGGATGGTAGAATCTCTCAGAATGTGTTTTCTGTAGTTCAATGTTGGCACCACTTGTACCTGGATAGCTATCATGAAGGCTTCTGTCTCCGGAAAGAGATCCCCGTACTGGTGCCATGCGTGCGACGCAGAGATGTCGACTTCTGGTTTACTCAGCTGATAGGGGTACCTTCCATGCAGTGCCTTCGCTTTCCATAAGGTTATCTTCTCTTCCGTTTCAGTGATTGGCTGAACAGGCAGATCAAGCTTATTCAGGTTCAGAGGACTATAGTTATTATCAACTGCGCTCACTGCTTGCTGAACTCTCCCACAATGTTCCAGGAAGTTGTTGTTGTTATTATTATTGTTATTATTATTATTGTTATTAATATTAATATTATTATTATTATTGTTATTAATATTAATATTATTATTATTATTATTTCGTTGGAGTCGTTAGATTTCGCTGGATCACCAAGGCAGTTCACACAAATTCTGCTAAATGGGAGCAGGAGATTTCCCTCGCCTGTACTTTATGAGCGGCCAACGTCCGGCCGAGAAAAGCGAGTGTGCCGCGCGGTTCTCGTTACTCCAGGTGAGTATCCAGCTCCAGGCACACGTACAACTAACGACGCCTCGCACTTGAAAGTCCAAACAAGTAGTACCATTAAGAGGAAAAGTGCAGTTGTCATTATAATGAAAATATTTTGTGACCCAGCTGCAAATTCAGCGAGTGCAAGAAACTAAAGAGCAACTTACATATCTTATTATAGAAATAGGGAGCAAAGATGATTTCGAAAGATGAATGATTGATTGTTAGTGATTCCGGGTGCGTCAACTGCTAAGGTAATTAGTCCCGTAAGTGTAGTCAACTATTTTTTTGCTCAGAAGGTGGCGGTGATCTTCCCCCGCTGGATAGCGAGATACGGTGCCGACCTAACGTCGGCTTGCGGGGTTTTCCCCGACCAGGTATCTCCACCACCCCAACCAGGACAAGCTTTTTCGCACCCGACCTGTCTCCAGGCATGTGTAATAGTGTAGTGCATGTTAGTGCATATGTATGTGTAAGGAGTGATGACAAAGTAGGAAAGAGGAAGGCGCGGTCCGTGCCCCGTTTGTTAGGGTATTGCTTCGGCATAAACAAATTGAAAAAAAAATGTATTTTTCAAAAGGTTTCAAAACAGAATCACAAATATTTGATACAAGCTATTCATTAGGATCGTTAGATTGTAGCAATATTTTTGTTAGATGATCCAGAGGTCATTTTAAATAAAAAAGTGATTAAAATATATACTCGTACGAGCCTTTTTTTTGCCCTTCCATTAGCAACGCTAATTCGTGGCAAAGATGGTTCGGGCAGCGTCGGGCATAAATGAAAACATAGAAAGAACATTAAAGATTCATTGTGAAATAACTGATTCTTTATTTATTCATACATTTCACTCTTTTTATTTGTATTTGTATTTTCACTGACAATATATCAATGAAAAATATGAGTGATCTAGGGAAGTTACAATTAAACCAAAACAAAATAATGATTTAAGACTTATAACTGATGCGTTTCTGAGTTCGAAAAAGGGGTTGACGACAAAGTGAAATCTGTCGGTCGATTATTTACATATTTGTGGATGAGGGATGCAATGGAAATAGTCATTTTGTTCCTAAATCAAGCATTCGCCTGGAAATTATAAAACAAATATTGTAAATAAATTTTTAAAAATGGTAAGATATTCAGTGAAAATAGTTACTTATGTTGGTCTTAAATATAAAAAAAATATTGTATATCTTAGAAAATTGTCCAAAGAACACAGTTTGTTACGTTACATGTCAAAAAAAATCTCTAAATTCCACCGAAATACGTCAAAAATGAGAAAAAGACAAAACAACACATTTTTCGATATTACATCAGTACAGTAACATAAGCGAAAATTTGTTTTTCTATGTTATTTTGGGAGTATAATAAGATAATATCACCCTCTTCAGGTTTGGGGGTGAGCCAATTTCACCTATCTTATTCCGCTATACCCAATACGTTGACAAAGATTACTTCCATTATTTTAATCCTTGAATAATGTCAACACCACAACAGTATTTCCACTATTCTATTGGCGTGGTATAGATTGTAAATGTATATTGTAAGTAAATTGTCATATTTTTAATGTATAGAAAATATATTGAAATGTATAATGTTTGGAAATTTTAAAATGTGTAACAATAAACTGAATAATCCGAGCATATTTTGTATTTGTATTTGGAAGGTATCTCAATAATTCGAATTTAGCGGGATTTTGTGCCGTTCCGAAGCACCACCATGACAAACCTTGAAGCGCTCTACAGTTGTTTACTGGAACGTAGATGTACTTCTAACTTCGATTTTTTTAACGTGGCGTCTCAAGGTTGCAGACGAAAAAGGGAGAGGGAAGGCAGACTCCAAAAGGGAATCGTAAAAGAGAAAGTTGTAATGACGTACAGCTTTTTATTGGAACTTACCTTCTCTCTCCCTATTTTGCTAGTGATTCTGAGACGCCACGTTAAAAAATTGAACGATTGAACGAGAAACAATTATACTCTTACTCTCACGAAGTCTAATATGGTCCTATAGCTTCTTGCATGTTCCATTTCTCTACCGAGCTAGGAATGGCGACGTATGCAAATTGAACTTAACGCGGTCAATGGTAGAACCTTTAACCTTAATCCCACACTAATCTCACGTGAAAAACGTCGGCAGCTAATCGGACAAACTGATGTTTAGCGACATCACGCGGTGAATAAAGAAAATTATGTCGACCTTTTTGGGCCAATAACGACGCGCATACTTATTTGTCTTACGCCATCTACACTTACTTACAAACACGAAAGTGTAGATGGCGTTGGTTGAGTACGTGTTAGATGGCGTTGACTTGTCTTATTAACTTGGTGGTCATTAACAGAAAATGCCTTAAAAGGTTCTACCATTGACCGCGTGAAGTTCAATTTTGTCGATTAGATTCCGAGGCGTTTCGTATTAATACATACCTATCCTACCAGGACTTGTTTCTTTGTTACACCTTTATGCTCACAATTAAAAAAGACTGACAATTCGCCATGAGTGTCCTAGACTCCGGCCTATGCGGTTAACATAGAACATTATTGAGCCTGTCCAAAGCATGAAATTGCAACTTGAAATTTTGACGCTTCACTACGCGTGTCCATGCATGAGCATGGTGATGAGGCTCCGGACTTTGGCCTCAGTATGGACTTAGTATAAAACATATTTGAGCCTGCGCAACGGCTAATTTTCGGTTGTCATTCGAATTACGTAAACAGAATACCCTCCTTCCCGTCTTTCTTCATTTTCGTTCACCGATGTCGCGACGCTGGTGTCGACTGGTTACGATAAGGGATAAGAACTGAAATCCCTTTGGGTTCTCTAAACCCTTTCCACCACGCTCTAAACGAGAATTAATATTTAAAAAGTAGAAGTAATTAGTAGTAGAGTAAACATGCTACAACTACTACCGGGACGAGTCGCATTTGATCACCTTTTGTTAAGACCCATTTTTCGTAATTATCATTGCTTTAAAGAAATTGTACTGCATTCTCGCCACTAAATTCTCGAATGCTTTTGTTACAATTAGTTAGAGCTTTAGGGATATTCGGAACACAATGTTCATTTTTGAGTATTCTACAATTCTGGTATATTGGCAACGTCAATTTACATTACTGTAGTGTGATGCAGGGTAGGGAAACTTGGCGGTCAAAACGGGGTAATGATTTTTGCGCCATCTGCAACAGTTCCGA